TATACATCATTTGCTTCCATTAGTTTTGTATTTTTTTTTTTTTTTTTTCAGATATTGGTTATGTATATAGTGCTTATTTATGTATACCCAGTTTGAGTAGTTGAATTTACACATTCTTCTTTTCTTGCACCCTTCTTTCTTTATTTCTGATATTAAATAATGTAAATTGACCCAAATGTATTGTCTCTCAGAGAGAGTGGCTTAGTTGTAGATATTGGCTAATGAGTACACAGTAATCACAATTTAGGAGGAAATATACATTTTTGTAGTGTTCTGTAGCAGCAAATTAGAGAGTAGTATACCATTTTTTACTAGTAGCATTTTAATCTTGAATAGACGAAAAACATTTTGGAATGTATTTGCTAGCAATCAGGTATGTGAATTATGTCTATTTGACCACTGATTATTGCAACTTAAAGTATGTGCAATAAAAAGTGTTCTGTTTTTTTATAATAAAAATATAAAGTAAAATATATTAATAAGAATGAGATCCTATGAATTCTTGAGTGACATTTGTTAAAAACTGTAATACTGTTCATATAAGTTTGTAATAAAACTGAAAAGCAATGATGCTAAAAACAAGTTTTCAAGGAGTCCAACAGATCATTTTTAATAATAACAATCCATGAAAAACCTTTTTACGAGTGTTATGTCACTAGTAAATTCCACAAGTACTTTCGACCTCCACCGAGGTCTGCTTCAGGTGGTGACTGGCCGTGTTTCGACCCAACCCGACCTGTTTTATTTATGAATTAAATGTTTTTTGGATATTGGCTTCCATCATCAGATTTAACCAATTACAGGTATCCCTTGATTAATGCAGTTAATTAATCTCTGGATGATACCACATATATCAAAATAGCATTAATCAAATTCAGTATCTGTGTTAAGTAAAGACAGCTGGTAAAGCTGCATTAATTAACACTTCTGCCACATATATAAAGAGATTGCTGCAATTAATTTTGCATATTAATCAAATCCCATGTTAAGTAAGGGATACCTGTATACAAATTAGAAATGTTTTCTGTAACTGTTTTCTGTTTTAAAAATTTATATATGTGTTTGATAGTCAGAATGGCTTGTCTGATTAAATCAAATAAAATAGGTGATATATTTTTAGGATTTGAAAATAAGAGTAAATATAGTGAATAAAAATTTTACTACATGTGGAAAAATTGCTTATGCTTGAACTTAACAATTTATATTCATATGCATGTTTGAAATTGTTTCAATTGCTATCCAGAGCATCTGAGTTCATAGTGATTCTTCAGTTTATATTATGTAATCAAACATCTTGAAGAATAATTTATCATAAAAGGTATTAGTTCTGCCATTTTGAGGGAGTGGACTCCACCATTCCTTCAAAATGACAGAACAGTAATAATTTTGAGAAGTACAGATGATCTAGAATTATATTTCTCATTGTTTATTGTGCCTAGTGCAGTAATGAGTGATATCCCATTGATGTAGTCAATGGGATAAAAATCATCTAGCAGGCTGCAGAAATTAATGTGGTTGGCCACATGTGACCTGTAGGCCATAGATCCTTCAAGCTAGTGTAATGGGCTCAGAAAATATTACATACAGATTAACACAATAATGTATCCTTCTTAAAGTAAGTAGTTGATTTTCTCTGCATTATCATCATCAGACAAAAAATTTTTATCTTACTTTATCACTAAATTTTTGTGGTGTAAAATAATGTTTGATTGGTTTTTTTACAAGAAGTTATTTTATCTGAAACTTATTGAGCTGCAATTTGAAAAAATTGTAGACCTATAAATTCCCACTGTCGTCCATTTGTTTTTCTGTCTGTCTGTCTGTCTCTCTTTAAGCTTGAGAATGGTGTTAGATGGATGAAATTCAAGACCAGATATGCAAAGTGGTCCAGATAGGCAGTAGGTCCCAATTAGCTACATATGAACTTCCAATGCAAATCAGAAGTTGTTGTTTCAATTTTAAAACTTCCCTCAGTTAGATCAGGCATGTCAAAGATATGGCCCACAGGCCAGTCATGCCCTGCAAAACAATTAGTTGCAGCCTACAACATCAATCCAATAATGCTATTTGTTTATTTTTATTATCTTGATACCAAAGAAAATGTGATATTTTGTACTTAACAATAATCTATATCTATACTTCTATACTAATATTATAAAGAGGTAATGTTCGTAAGTATGTAAGTAAGTAAGTTTGTATGCAGCAGGTAATCTCCAAAACTACTCATTTGATTTCAAAAATTCTTTCACCAATATTTAGAATGGAACTTCAGGGTGGACATAGGCTGTATATTATTCCGTTAAACATTCATATAAATTAAATGATATCATCTATGGTTAAGGCTTTTATGTCCAACAGATGGCACTACGAGTACAACGCCCTAAGTTTGCTTTTCTGGGAAAATGAACTAAAACAGATCATCTTCTATCTGTTTATATAAATAAAAATGTAATGTTTGTTTGTTCCTACCGATTCCTTTGAAATTTTGACTCAACGCTGCATTCGAATACGTACGTGTTTTTATATAATATACGTGTCGAAATTCAACCCCACTGAAGGGAGATGGTTAGGATTAAGGCTTACGGTAAAGAACTCTGCTTCTATTTATACTATTTTAGATGCGGGTTTTTGCGTTTTTGATTGTGTTTTAATAGGGTATGTCAACATAATGTACACTAAGAAGAAATTTTTCGATATTCCCCCCGCGGGGGAGAGAGACAGGATTAAGGCTTACCATGAAGAATTTGGCTTCTATTATACTATTTTAGATGCGGGTTTTTGCGTTTTTGATTGTGTTTTAATAGGATACGTCAAGAGAATGTACACTAAGAAGAAATTTTTCGAAAAATTCCCCCCACCCACGGGGGAAGTGTTATAAATTTATAATAGATACATTTTGAGCCACAACGTGTGGCGGGGTCTGCTAGTATTTAATAAACAAAATTGTTGAACTCTGTTGTTATTATTTTTATTTATTTATATTACTTAGAGATATTTATTTTATTTGATTTATTTTTGTGTTTAATTTCTTGTTTACATTATGTATTTTCTATTTCATCTTTTGAATTTCAAATTAAAGTTTATCTTGGTAAGATCATTTATTGCATAATTTGCATTATTATCTGGCCTGCTGTCTTATTTGAAACAAAAAATTGGCATTTAAGGAATTTGGGTTTGACACTCCTGAGTTTGATAGATGACCAGCACAACTCCATTGCTAATGGAAAAGTATGATGTACAAGGGCAAGACACTACAGTACTAATAGAGGTGGAGAACATATATTTCAAATTAAATAAATTAAAAATATGATTAAAAATTGCAGCCCAGCATTGTGCCATGTCACAATAACTAATTGCTCATTTGATTTAAGATGCCATCAAATCTAAGATGCACATTAATTTCTACATGTTTACCCACATATTTTTTTTTGAAAAATAAACAATTTGAAATAAATTTATTGCAATAAAAATATGTTATATATCATTGTCTCCTGTGGTAGCAGAGAAGTCAGAAACCTCTATACTTTTGTGTTAGGCTCTTCTGGATCTACACTGGATCAAATATCAGTACTCACATCTTTCCATACAGGATCATTCTCAGTACTGTTTGAAGTGTTAGAAATGCAACATTTCTTGAAAGAGTCCTGCACTACATTTTCTGTATTTTCATTTAAATACTTACTGTTCTGTAATAGACTAATGAGATTCAGTAAAGTTGACCTCTTGTATATTTATTATTACAAATATTAGTCAAATAAAGTTATTGAAATGACAATGAAATTGGCAATAGAGAAATAAGATGTGTAGCACAAAAACTTATTAATTATGATGTATTGTATTGAATCTAAGATTCATGCTATTTTCAGTGATTCTAAATCTGAAAAAAGTGTATCTTACATTCAAATAAATATGGTAAATGCATATTTTTTTTCTATATTGCCTATTTTTATTTTATACTCTGTTTTAATATAATATACAGTGTATAGAACAAAAGAAATTATAACAAAGATGTGAGATAACAATTTATTCTAAATGCTGAGTAAATTTTTACTATACAGAGTGCATAGGAAAGTCCCTTTAACTGGAAAATTCTTGCAAACAGAGAGAACTAGAGCTATGCAAGTGAGGTAACAGTATAGTAAAGCGACTACGCCCGACCTAATACAAACGACAGCAGTGCCCCTTGTGGCAAAATTTGGAAGATGGGCAGTGCAAAACGAATACAGATAGAGCAAACTTTCCAATTAGAAAGTTTTAGAGCATCAATTACTTAGTATGAAACGACATGTGGTTCACATGGATAAGATAAATTTTTGCCTGTATACCCAAAAATGTCCGAAAGCGATGCACACCATTTTGTGTAATCATCTGAAAGAAATAGGTATGAAGAAATATACACAATTTATTGCATAAAATATGTACTTACGTCAATACAGTTTGATAACATCACACAAAAAACAACAGAAAGGCAAACTATTACACAGTGATAACAAGTTAATGTCCAGTATGTTCGAAAAGTTTGCCATTGCTCACAATAAATGCCATTGTTATCAAATTTTATGCAGTAAATTGTGTGTATTTCTTCACACCTATGGCTATTCCCTTCAAATGTTTACACAAAATGGTGTGCATCAGTTTTGGACATTTTTGGGTATACAGGCAGCAATTTATCTTGTCCGTGTAAACCACATGTCATTTCGTACTAAGTAATTGATGCTCTAAAACTTTCTAATTGGAAAGTTTGCTCTATTTGTTTTCATTTTCGATTTGCATTGCCTATCTTCCAAATTTCGCCACTAGGGGCACTGCTGTCATTTGCATTAGGTCTGGCATAGTTGCTTTACTATACCATTATCTGACTTGCATAGCTGTAGCTCTCTTCGTTTGCAAGAATTTTCCGGTTAAAGGGACTTTCTATGCACCCTGTATATCTACAAAAAAAAAATTTAATGTTTTAAATATTTGTTTATTAAATTTTTTTTATATATTTCATGAAACAGGTAGCAGCAGCTAAAGTTCAAGAAGTTCGAGAAGTTACTCGAATTGAGAGGATTGGTGCTCATTCTCATATCCGTGGATTAGGTTTAGATGATTCTCTGGATCCAAGGCCGGTAAATATGTATTTTTTTTTTTTTTTAGATTTGTTTGTATTTTGTTATATTAGAAGTTAATACATACTGATTTTGTCAACAAGAGCAATCACTGATGTATTATTAATTTAAATATTTTAAGTTAAATATAATAAAATTATATTTGAAAATACAATAGAGCAGGAATGGCCAACATACGGCCTGCAGGCCAGATCTGGCCTGTCTAATGAAATTTGACAGCGTGGCCCGCGATCAATCTTTCAATATTAGCTACTCAAGTCCGAATAGCTAGATGAAAAATTCTGATGCCTAAAAAAAAAGTCAAGAACTCACTGTGCGTTTAGAGTTAACGTTCCATTACAAATCTCGTAAGTACAGCGTAGAGCAGGGGTCGCCAAACTTTTTTAACCATCAACCCCCAATCACTTTCCAAAGCCTCACATTGACCCCCACCATAAAGTTTTATTACAAGTGTATATGTATGAGCGAAAAAAAAAACATTATGGGTTGTGGTCTCTGTTTAAGGAAAAAAAAAAGGTTGTGACCCCTTAGCCGCATTGACCCCCCAATGATGTTGCATCGACCCCTGGGGGTGCATATCGACCACTTTGGCGACCCCTGGCGTAGAGTATTGATAAAGCATGATAATGTGAAAAATGTATCTGTAATCTCTATCTATAATTCAGTCTCTATGGGGTGACACCACAATGAGATCTCACACCACCTCAAAATCTTCCTATGGCAGCCTCAGGTTTGGCCCGTGGAAAAAGTTTTCTTTCCAGTTCGGTTTGGGGGCAAAAACTGTTGGCCACTCCTGCAGTAGAGCATCGATTATCCAACTCAATTGGGAACTGGGGTTGGTTGGATAACTGAAAAAACGGATAACCAAAAACTATGAAAAAATACATTATTAGTATAGAATATTAGTACATTAGTATATTAGTATATTGCTATTAACCTACTTCGTATTGAATTTTTATCAATATTAAGCCTAACAAAATTTTTTAAAAATAATAATCATTGCTATTGGATCATTAAAAATTATTTTAAAATTATTTTATTGCTCACAAAACAAACAACCATTTATAATTAGAAAATTAAGTCTCGTTTAAATACTGGCCTCCCTTTCATGGTCGAGCCAGTGTTGCCAGCTAAAACATGCAAAAATTTAACAAAAATAATATTAAAGTAGCCAAAACACAGCCAAATATTATAGTGCCACATCACTAGCGGACATTTGAAATTTGCCGACTAGAATGGTCAGTTAACCGATGTGACGGTTGATCAGGAGTTGGATAATCGATGCTCTACTGTAGTTTAGTTTTAGCTTTAGAACAGTTTATTCATATTTTTATTAATGAAAATTTGTTTATGTATAATTAACACAGTAGTAGACAATATTTATTTTATCAGGTTTCTCAAGGAATGGTTGGACAAATGCAAGCACGTAGAGCTGCTGGTGTTATTTTAGAAATGATAAAGGAAGGAAAAATTGCAGGCAGAGCAGTTCTTATAGCTGGTCAGCCTGGAACAGGAAAAACTGCTATAGCAATGGGTAAAAATTTTTTAATAATTAAATTATATAATGCTGCTGTTTTTTTGATAGAATTATGCAGTTTGTTGTATAAATAAAAGTTTTAATAATGTTTGTGCATTTTCTTAAACTTATGAACATGCTGTTGTAATTTAAGAAAAGACTAAGATGCTAGATTTGTTATATAGAAATATATAGGATAAAAATATAATCAATTTTCTAAAATATTAACATCTGTTAAAAATTTATATCAAGTTTATATGAATTTTTCTGAATGTAACAACATATTATAGCTTGCATATTTAGACATTGATTTTACAAATAAATTAATTTTTCAATCCTAATTTTTTTTTATAAAAAGAAATATATCTATTTTATATTACATGTTAAAATAGAACAGAAAAACATCAAAATTTTATTTTTTTTTACTCTCTTTAATAATGGTTAATTTATTTAATTAATGATCAATACTTCATTAGTTGCTGTGTAGCTTCCTTAAACAGCAATATTTATTAAAACCTGACAATACAAACATTTGTACACGAAACAGAATTACAACTCAACTAGAAACATCATTGTTTGATAAGAATTTTAAGGCTATATCATCAAATCCATTTTTATCAGATCAAAATTGAACAATGTTATAAAAATATTTTGTTTTGTAATAATTATGTACAGTAGAGCCTTGAAAACTCGGCCTAATGTGGACCGAAGTTTGTGAAAATGCCGGGTTATAGGGAATGGGGTTAAAAAAGGATAAGTATGCGTGTTTCCTCAGAAAATATTGTACTGTACTTGTATGTATTGTTTGCTTGAGAATACAACAGAGAATAAACTGCCCAAATACCCTTAAACAAAGGAAAAGTA